TTATCAGGATAAGCTGCCCCAAACAGACCCTAAATGGGTTGTAGAAAAAACTAAGGAGATTGATAGCTTAAGTTTAAACTTTGATATTCAGGTAAGGATTGCACTAGAAATGGTGTAGGTATAATTATAGATGAGCTTGAAATATAATGTGGCAAAAATTAATAAAATTAGAGATAGGATCATAGCCATAAAAATTGTTATTGATATTACGATTTTTAATGTTATAAGTGTTTGCGCTCCTCAAGGTCTAGATATAAGTTCAAAAGAAAAACTCTAGAATGACCTAGAAGAATTAGTATAAATGATACCTATTGAAGAAAAAAATTTTATTGGAGGATATATAAATGGACATGTTGATAGAGTGGTGAAGGATTTTAGAAATAATCATGGTAGCTATGGTTTTAGAGGGATTAATAAAGAATGTAGAACCATATTAGATTTTGCTTTAACTTATGATTTTGTTATTGTTAATCTTTATTTGATAAAAAGATGAGCATATTATTACTTATCAAAATAGATCTAATAAAACATAAATTTATTATTTTCTTATGAGAAAAAGAGAACATCGAGAGTATAAAGGATGTAATATCATTCCAAGTGAAAATTTAAATACTCAACATCGATTATTAGTTATGGATTTTAAAATGAAGAATTGTAAGATAAAAAATACAAGAAGATATTATCATAGAATTAGATGAGGGCACCAAAAAAACACAACTAAAATTATTTTTATGAGTAAACTTCAATATTTTAAGATTTTGGATGTTCATGAAGAAGCGAATTCTATGTGGGATAAAATAAAAGCACTATCAAACAAGTGGCAAGAGATGTACTTGAAAAATTAAAAGAAAAAAGTTTTTATAAATAAAAAAATTGATTGTTGAATAATAATATATAAGAAAAGATAAAATATAAGAAGTGTTATAAAAATTGATTTAAAAGTAAAAGGTTAGCGAACTAAGAAAAATAGAAGGTGGCCTGTAGGGTGTCGAAGAAAATAATTTGTGATGCTAAAAATTTTATTTTTAAAGATCTTTATAATATATTAGATACTAAATAGGGTGAACAATATATGTATAAAGTAGTCAAACCAACTGAAAAAAAAAGTAAAAATTTAATTCAAGTAAAGCATATTAAAGATGAAAATCAAAAAATGTTTTTCTTAGATAAAAATATTCAGCATAGGTGAGTAAGTTATTTTGATAGACTTTTCAACTATGATTCTGATACGATGAACCTTAGTGATCTTAATAATGTTAATAATAATAAAACATTTTATTTTCACCATCTCATTAGTAAAAAAAATTGATAAGGCTTTAAGGAAAACCAATGGTGTGATATCCCAATTGAAGTGCGAAAATACTTCGAAAATTCAGGAATTTCATGGCTTACTAAACTCTTTAATATTATTTCAAGAACTAAAAAGATATCTGAGGAGTGTAGGACGAGTATTGTGGTCCCCATTTTTAAGAACAAAGGGGATGCGCATGAGTGTAAATTATAGAGGAACAAGTTGATGTGTCACATTTTAAAATTATGAGAGAGGGTAATTGAATATAGGTTAAGATGTCATACAGATTTCTCATAATTAGTTTGGATTTATGCCGAGCAGGTCTATTATGGAAACTATACATCTATTAAGGTTTGATGGAGAAGTACAAAAAGGATAAGGAGGATCAACATATGATTTTTATTGATTTAGAAAGAACTTGCGAAAAAGTTCCAAGAGAAGCTCTTTGGAGAGTTTTAGAGAAGAAAGGTGTTGATATGACTTGAATTCAAGTCATTAAAGATATGTATACTAGAGCTGTTGCTTGTGTTTGAACAGAAGGAAGATTGACCTAGTATTTTCCTATTTCAGTTGGATTACATTAGGGATCGACTTTAAGCTCATATCTTTTGCTTTAGCTATATATGCTCTTATTTACGTGACATTTACAAGAGTATGTAACTTGGTGTACGCTTTTCGCTAGTGATATCCTTCTAGTGAATAAGACAAGAGAAAGGGCTAAGGAAAAAGTTGAATTATGGAGGTCTACAGTGGATTCTAAAGACCTTTGTTTGAGTAGGTCTAAAACTGAATACATGGAATGTAATTTTAGTAGTAATAGCTCTAATAGCAGAGTTGTAACTATGGATAATCAAATTATCAAAAGATGTGAACGTTTAAGATATCTCGGGTCTATTCTTCAAAACAATGGTGACATAGATGGGATGTTATTAGCATAATTCAAGTTGGTTGGTTGAAGTGGAGGAATGCATCGAGCTTATTGTGTGATAGAAAAGTATCTGATAGAAAAGTAGAAAAGTATCGTTTAGTCTTAAAGGAAATTTTTATAAAATGGTGATGAGACTTGTAATGTTCTATGTTACAGAATGTTAGCCTTTAAAAGAGAAGCATAAAACAAAGTTAAGTGCAGCTGAGATGAGAATGCGTAGGTGGATGAGTGGCTTGACACTTAAAGATAAAATGTGAAATGAATAATTCGTGATAGAGTTGGTGTAGCTCCAATGGAGGACAAGATTAGAGTAGAGAGAGTCGTCTTAGATGGCTTAGATGGTTTGGTCACATTAAACTTCGACCATCTAATGATCCTATTAGGAGAACAGAGGTTTTAAATTCGACTTATGTTAAGACAGGCAGAAGTAGACATTAAAAAACTTGGTCACGTATAAAAATTGGTCTTAGTCTATTAGAACTAAATGAAAATAGGACACTCACTAGGACACAATGGAGAAAAAGGATTTATGTAGCCGACCCCATTTAGTGGGATAAATTAGTGGGATAAAGGCTTGAGCCGACCCCATTTAGTGGGATAAAGGCTTGTTGTTGTTGTTGTTGTTGAAACACATCTTTTATAACTCACTCAATAGTATTCGTCACTTTATCCCACATAGTATTAGTTTTTTTATGAACATTCCAGATCTTAAGACAATAAAGCTTACTCATAAAAATAATTTTATTTATGTCTTTTAAGTGCCCTCATATAATTTTATGATAAAATTTCATTGTCTTTTCGATTAAAATCTAAAATGAATAATTAATGTTGGGAACTTAACATTTCAATTGGAATGACTTTACAATCTTTACCATCTCAAGGAAATATTTTTCTCCAAAAAATTAAAAAAACATTAATTTGTATTTTAATATATTCATTCTTGTAAGTAATAATATATTTCTCTCTTTTCTTAAAATAAAATATTAAGAATAACATAATCATAAGCTAAAACAATATTCAATATGACAATACTTCTTTTAATCACCATAAAATCATAATCCGAATGAATGCTCCTAAAATCTTCTACCACTATAAGAATTCTTTCTTCAAGTGATATCTTTTGTTATAATTCTTCTAATTCATTTTGAAAAAAAAATTTTGAGACTTCTAACATTAAGAATCTTAGTATCAATAATAATCTTTAGAGTTATAATTATATCTTCAATTCTATTAATTTTTATAATATTAACTTTCAAATTCTAATCTATTGAGCCACATTAGATATCACCTCTAATTTACAAAATTTCAATAAATATTACTTTCAATTTACCATTTACCTTCATATCTTAAATCTTTCACATTAGTTTACATATTTGACTTATTGATGCATCTTTCACCCTCAATTATATATGCTATAACCATCCAAATGATTGATCCATTAATTTATCTTCAATATGTGCAACTCTCACCATTTCTCTAATATTATCATTTTTATTTTCTCAGCACAAACATCTCAAAGTTATGACATCTGTTTACATGCATCTTATGTATCAATAATCCTATTTTAGCTCGCAGCTCAAATCAATATATGATGGCCAATCTTTTTGCATTTTAAAAAAATTACCTTTAAGCACTACATGACATTTTTTTTTGGCACAAAGTGTTGTAGATGTATTTCTCCATTTTAACTGCTCAACATTAACTCCATAATTTACCCACTAATCTAGTTCTCATTGTGATGAATAGCTTCAAAATAATTAAAACTTTCACATCTATTTTTCTTTTTATTGTCAACTACTGTTAACTAATTATCATCTCTATCAAACCAAAATAAAGTGCATATCATATAACTGAATTATATTTAATAACATTAAACCTATTATCATCTAAATCCTTTAATGTCCTAAAATTTATTTATTTAAAAATTCCATTAAATTCCCATCATTTCAAACCAACTACAAACATCATACACTACTTTGATTATCCATCAATAAATACAGAAGATCCAAACTTAATTTCGGTCATTGAAGTAAACCCATTGTTAGTTTGTCACTAGAACTCTTTGGCCACCTCACAATTATCTTACTTATCAATACTAAGAGGCTGATTATGCATGCCTCTGTAATACATGAACGCAAAAAAATTACTCAATAATTATGAAAGAGAAAAAAGACAAAAATAGGAGGTAAATCATTTACTAATACACATTTTAAAATACAGAAAATGGAATAACAACAATGACAATTTCAAAGGTCCCCAACCCCCAAATCTGGGTGGTAAATTCTACTCATTTAAACAAACTTTGTTGAGAACGCTTTAGGCTGTAAGTATTTGCATTGTCAGGAGATTCATGAGCTGTTGATCAATGTAATGCATTGTGATAATCATAAATTTACAGCAAAATTCACAGGCTTTTTGGAATACAAATTAAAGAAACAGCTGAAACAATTCTAAATAAAAAAATTTCACAAGAAATCAAATACTTCATACACCACCAACCAAATATGCAAAGCATATGTATATATGAAAACCAAAGAGTACGTTCTAATAAATATGAATATTAAATTTAGGAGCTTTCACACATATATATGCCGCTACATATATGATAATTTGTCCCATATGCATGAAGATTCTTAGTAATCCACGCATGCATATCAAAAGAAGATATATTGATAAGGGTCAAAGAAAGCTGTATACCAAAAAAACCTAAAATAAAACATTCCTTAAACAGAAAAACTCAAAACTTCAGATGGTCATCAACCAAGGAGTTTATCTGATTACCTGCAAAGCAAGCTGAAAAGTTAACCTCTCATCATCATGCCTAGATTTTAAGCTTCCTGGGCCCGCATGAAAATTACTAAAAGTACATCGCTGTTTCATTTGATTTAGATTCAGAAGAACTGGAGGTGGAGCACGAGGAACAGGATCACTAATATCATCAAGGATATACAGGTCAACATCCTCATCTAAGGTTGACATTTCTCTAGAGTGTTTGCTCTGAATGGCAATCTTGGAAACTTTGGGAAGTTGATGCTGCTGCTGCTGAGTGGGAGAGATCTGAAACTGTTTTTTGTCCTTTATCAAATATTTTTGTTCCTTCCTTTGTAAGATCATTTTATGATCAGAAATTAATTGTCTTACACTTTCGGTAGAAGAACCATCAAGATTTAGTAACATAGGTTTGTGATTATAAGGCAAAGGTGAAGAATCTGTGCTAGAATCAGTCATCATACCCATATCCTCACATCTATACTGTTGAGCATACAAGCCGCAAGGCAGCAACGCATCCATATCTTCAGCAGAGTCCTCCAGAACAGAGCTATGAGGAGATTGTTCCTGAAAAGTGCAATTCACCGAATCTTTGGACAAAAAAAGCTGAGCTCCTTCTCCATTTTTCCCATGAAACTGTGTCGCATTATGATGCAGTAAGCCCCTCACTTTAACCGGCAAACTCGGACATGATACAGCTTTCACACTAACCAAGAAGTCTCCAGGACTTGCTAAAGAACTACTGTTAGCATCATGAGAATGTTTGATTCTTTCTGTGGAATCTATGTCAGAACTAGTTTTATACTGCTGAGATAAAGCAAGATCCATCTCTACAGTAGAGTACTCTGGAAGAGAGCTATGAAGAGACTGTTCCTGCACAACGCACTCGCCTGAAGCTTTGAAGAAAAAAAATTGAGTTTGTTCTCCATTCTTCCCATAAAACTTTACCACCTGATCATGTGGTAAACCCCTCACCTTTTCTGAAAAGCGTGGCCTCAATACAGCATCTGCACTAACCAGTAAGTCTCCAGAGGCCATTAAAGGGCTATTGTTAGTATCATGAGAAACTTTGATTCTTTCTGTAGAATTCATGTTAGAACTAAATTTATAGTGCTGTTGTAAAGCAAGATTCTCTAAATTGCATGCTACAGAACTACTGTGAACATTTTCACTTTGCACTGCAGAATCTAATATAGCATTTCTATTCATGTGAGAACACCTTTCGCTAATGGATCCATACTCCCTCAACATAATATTAGCCAAACCTGGAAACGGCTAGCAAAGGTTCAGATATCTGCCAAAAAATACAACAATACCAAAAATCAAACCTAAAAGAATATTTACATACTTCTTTCCCCCGATTGCAACAAGCAAGGGGATGAAATAGCATCCGAATCAGTAAAAAACTTGCTAAAACCATTCTGTAATGGAGTTTCACAATCCTGAGTCTCAAGGTGGTCTTTCAGACCAATCAGAACAGTATCACTGGTGGCATTAACTTGTTGTTGGTAAAAATGACCAAATTCATCGGCAGTCCCCTTAGAAAATCTGCAATTAGGGCTATTATTTTGCAGTTTATTAAAGTTCATATCCTCAGTTACAATATTTCCAAATGAGTCGCCATATGAATCTGTTAAAAAAGATATCAAAATCAGTAGATGTCAAACTCAACCAATTGGAAGAAGAAGCTGATGGAAAAGAGCAAAGACCATTAGATTCAACTAGATTGGAAGAACGAAGGTTTCTCTCATCAAGAGGTTCTCCAAAGAAGATGCCATTGAAACTATTGGAAGTCCTTTTAAGCTCAACAGGAGGTTCAAACCATGGCTCAACAGGAGGTTGAAATGCAGATTCATCCAAAGAGTTTGGATGGTCCAACTCAGATGGCCGGGGTTCTAAAAAAAAAATACAAGCAACAAATGAAGAAGTTACACAAAAAACAAAAAAATCAAGCCTGTAAAATGTTAAATCAATTTGATGAATTTAAATTGGAAATGAATAAAGGCATCCTTATGCACCATGAAACAAACAATAAGCAGATCACAAATAATTACCACACCGAGGATGCAAAGCCTCCAGATTCCTCTGACAAACAAGCTGCTCTGAATGAGAACCGGATGGAATACCCTGTGAGTAGTGTTTGTCCAGCAATACAAGATCAACAAAACAGATACAGGGAGATAGATACAAAATACCAATGTAGAGAATATTGTTCATACTTAACTTTATCTAAACAAAGAAGACATGACGGGAAATAATTTTTAAAGCAACATAACAACACACTCACAAGTGACCTCCCATTCATCGGAAAGAAACAGTGGATATTCAAAAGTAATCAATTCTAATAGGCAAAAATATGAAAATGAAGAAGGAAATTAATGCTGCATATAGAAAGTAGAAAAGATAAACATTTGCTTGTTCAATGCCAAAAGATGCTAGAAAGTGCAGAACAAAGGGAAACTAAAAGTGAACTAAAACATGCATGATCATTTCAACCAAAAGCTTTAAGGAAAACCATTCTTATCTCTAGGCCAACATATTGTCCTAACAATCTAATGTAGGACAAAACAAAATACTCTTACATCCTCAAAACCATCACTATTCAAACGATCAAAATCTGTTCATATAATTAAAACTATTCAAAGGTAAAAAGTGCATTTTGTAAATCTGGAACAACAAAAGCAGCACTTTTCATATTACAGATGCTCAATTTAGTGATTAAACATCTGATAGATGGTAACTGCTACTGCTCAATTAGCACACTAGGTAAGAGAAAAGCATATAAAATAAATGTGAGAACATGTGCCACTTTAAGCACCCACTTCCCAAAATGGAATACATGAAAAATTGTGTCCAAGGAAAGGTATCAATCTTTAAATCACTAATGAAACAATAGGAAATGCACGAAATCAGAAAAAGAAACACAGGTGGCATAATTGAGAACATTTGCTCCACTTTATGGAGGCTGAATAAATCAGAAATTCTCACTAAGCTCATTGCCAACTTCACAAACATTTATAAGTAAAACAGTTTATCTACTGTTATACTTAGGTACCAGGTGATGGAGACATCAGAAAATCAGATTCCAGAAGAGAGTAAACAGTGCATATATTAAACATGAATAAGTTGTCATATTTGGCTCGGTTTGCCAACTAGTGATCCAGATAAAAATAGATCTCAAGTTTAAGTTCAAACAAAATCTATTTCAGTCAAACACAAAGATGATGCCTTTTAATGGTAACATACTATAACACATAGGTATATATATGTATGTATGTATATATATATGTATAGCTTTTCAAGGAAAATCCAGTTTGTTCTTGTTCATTGGAGCTGCCCTCCTAAGGGTTAGATCAAAGTTAACACTGATGGAAGCTTCATTGCTCCTAATGCAGGGGTTGGAGGGGAATTCAGAAATGACAGTGGGGAATGTTTACTCTACTTTCAGTCTCCTGCCTGGGCTAAGGACCCTTTGGAAGCATAAGCTCAAGCTATTTTTTGGCAGTGTTCATGGCCAAAAAATGTAGCTAGAACCAATTAATTGTCGAAATTGATTCACTGACCTTAATCAACATTCTTGATGGAAAGATACCTACCCCTTGGTATCTGATTAATTGGATTACTGGCATACAATCCTTGAGCCTGGAGCTTAGGCTATCAATTAGCTTAGGCTATCAATTTCTTTTCTCATACATATAGGAAAGGTAACAGACCTGCACATTGGCTTGCCAGTGCTGGCCTACACTCTCAGAATCCCTTGATAGATACTTGGACCACTCCTTTAGATTTACTGTTGAAAGGAAAACTTGTTGATCTACCTTTCATAAGAGTTTTTTCTGCTTAATTTTTGGGAAGTGCCTTGTTTGTGCCTTCCTTTTTTGTAACTCTTTTCTTTTTAATGAAGTAGGAGCCCGTCTCCTTTTATATATATATATATATATATATATATAAACAGCTTATATGCATCTTCTCCCGGCTCCCCCCGCCTCTCACGTGTTCTGTCGCTTCCCATCTCGCAAATTTTGTTCTCGGCTTTGCGGCTCGTCTTCTCGCAATTTCCGGTCTCGCGAGTTTTGCAGCTTCCCATTTCGCGAATTCTGCAGCTTCCCGTCTCGCGGCTCCTTCCCGTCTTGCGAGCGGCTCGGGAGTACTCGACTCTGCGGCTCCCGTGTTCTCAACTTCGATCGACGCCACTTTCCACCTATTTTTTTCTATTCTCAGCTTCAGTCGACGCCACTTTTCCCCTGTTTTCTTCTTAGCGCCACACATGGCTTCAGACAGATCGTATGCAGCTGCCCTCAAGGGTGTCCACGCCTCAACTACACCTAAATCGTGCTCTTTTCCTCCTTCGTTTGTGTGAGAGGAGGACATCAATAAGCCTGGTTGGAAGAATGAGAAGCGTGTCATATTTTTTACAGAAGCTGAAGGTATTTAACTTGATTCCTATCGTATCGTCTGAATTTGGTTGGGAAATTTCTATATGGTCATCCCGAAATGGAGCTTATTCACAAGGAATTTGAACTTATGCGCCTTGTTGGGGAGTGGAAAATTGTGTTATTAGATAGGAGACACATTCTTATTCAAATTAATAATGAAGAAGATTACACACGCTTATTTGCTAGAAAGATTATCTGGATTGATAACAGAGCAATGAAGATTTTGAAATGGTCTGTGGATTTTGACCAACACACGGAACCCCCAATCATTCCGGTTTGGATTCATCTTCTTGGTCTGAAATTTCATTATTTTTCTCAAAAGGTATTGTATTTTATTGCCTCAGTTTATGATAGGTCATTCAAGACGGACAATCTTACTTTTAATCTTTCTCGTCCATCTAAAACTAGAGTACTTGTTGAAAAAGACATTACTTTTTCCGCTTTTGAGGAAATTTGCTTGGTCACACAACATTATGAATATTAGCAGAAGGTAGAGATTGAGCATTTTCCTTCGTATTGTTCGAACTCTCATATGTTAGGCCACTCCAGTTCTCAATGTCATCATCTACATTCCCACCTCAGACCAAAAAAACAAAGTACTCCGCTAGAGAGAGTAATTTCTACTCCTCCTGATCAGCTCCAACTTATTAACATTATCGATCATCAAAAGGATACACCTGAAGACGTCACTATTCCCGCAGGCAATATATCAATCATTCAGTCTCCACATTGTTGTAGCTCCCCCGTCTTTGGAACCTCCTATCGTGGAGGCAAGGGAGATTCTTCAGACTCCAGCTGCTCTTGAACCTATCACTGATATTACAGGTGAAAATACATCTGTTGCTTCACTACCGTCTCATCAGGTTCAGAAAGATGTCAATGCTACTCAGACTCAACAGGATCATGATGTGCAATGTCCTACACATGTTCGATTACCTTTGGACCAATCCATTGATCAGATGAGTCAATCCTCGGATGAGGAATGACAAATCTACACATTCAGAAGGAAGAAGAAGAATGGAGACATACTTGAGCTCAGAAATCTGATAGATGATACTTTGGTTACTTTGGGTAATAGTACGCACCTTACCAATTTGTTAGCTGACTCCCTTCCGAGAACTAGAGACAGAAGAAGAACTAAAGTGGGACGTCCCTAACACCTTTGCACCTATTCGTAGATTTTTGGTTATTTTATCTTTATGTATCTTTGCTTCTTTGGGTTTTTTTGTGTGTTGTATTGTGTCAGTTGAGTCTTCTTGTAGGTCATCTCATACAACCTATCTGTACCTTTTCTTCTTTAATATATTAGCCCTTGGGCTTTATATCTCTGGTCAGTTTGCCAATAGTGATAGTGGTCCTTGAATAGTTAGGCGCATGAGGATGGTTGGGGGCTCGTAAAATAGCCTCCGGCCATTCTTTAATATATAAAGATATTATATGAGTCTCGGTCATCCCTCATGCGCCAAGAATTCGAGTACTACACCCTACACTCGGGGGGAATCAAACCCCATACTAGAGAGGACTTACAACTGAAAAGCAAATATCCGACCAACTGATCTGAGTATATATATATATATATATAAATTAAAATGAATCGTTATTCAAGATGGACTATCATATCCCCTAAATATTAGTTCCCCATATGTGCTAATTCGACCCCGAAAGAATTCGAACCCGCGATAGAGGGGACTTGCACGTAGACTGCCTTCCAACATGCCATGGTTGCGCACACAAACGCGTATATATAATAGATATATACATGTACATGTTCATGTATGATGGTGGGTAGGTAGGTGGGTGTGTGTGTTTGTTTGTGCGTGGCAAGCATGTGTATTTATTTATATTTATGTAACGTTGCAGCTCATATCAAACCGAAAAATTAGAAGAACTTCAGAGGATACAAAAAGCTATATCAACATAGAGAATGTGTACTCTAAAAATGGCTTGGCTAATAATAGATGTTGAAACAATTCATAACCGCTTATGACAACCAAAAATATAATACCGACTTAAAAGGATAACAAAAGCTATAATAATTTAGAAATATAACCTCCTAAAAGTCTAACTAGTAATGGGCACTGAATTAATTTGAAATAACATAAAAAAAACATTTAAAATCGATTTGATACATGCACAAATAATTTTCAATTTGATATACAATATTTACTTCTCCAATGAAGAGGATCTACCAAATCATTCAACGTTAGAAAACACATTTAAGTGTGAACTTTGTGCAAATGAGAGAAATTCATGTGGCTTGAATTCAATAGTAGATCTTCCCCAAAAATGCTGGCCATTAAATTTGGACACAAAGGCTCTCCCCTCAAAACTTGGCAATAAAATCATACAAGGAGAGGAAAATACTGCACAATAATATTGGAAAGAATTACAATATTATAACTATTATATTTTATGCATATCACCAATCAGAACTTTATTAATTTGTTGTGTAGGAAGACAAATTAATTAGATCATAAGAATAAAAAGCCACTGTCAAGATTTTCAAAGAAATTAACAAAGTTAAGCTTTCACTTATCTAAAACGAGACCTCTAACTTGAAAATCCCTCTGAAATTTGTCAAGTACAAACTAATAAACAAGCTCTTCAATGTTGCCTCTAAAATTCCTCTAAATCGTTAGCAAGAAACAATGCTAGTTTATTATCGTTTTGCTTAGGAATGTTGATAGAGCAGTAAATCATTGATGATACAATTTAATGAACAAAATTATCCATCATACTGGGAACCGCATAACAGCAGTAAAATTATTACTCTTGACTATGTAACATATTAGGGGCATTTACATACATAGCTTATATTCCTACCGCCCAACCCCTATAATCCCACCTCCCAACCCTGAAACACTAGGCCTTCAATATCTCCGTTTATAAAGCCTCTACCATTCCAGAGGCGAAGCATTATCTTTCCATTTTGTTCTCTGGTATGGTTGTTGTTTGTCGGGGGAAAGGGTTCTTTTTTTTTTTGTGGTTGCAGATAGCTCGAGTGATGTTGTTGTTGGTTGTTCCTCTCTTGATTGTCTTTGGTCAGGCTGCTGTTAATTAGTGGTTTTTGTTTGTTGGTTTTCTTCATGATCACTGATGAAAGTTTAGATTCTTATTTTTTTTATTATTATTTTTTTGCTTTTGGGGTTGTTTTTTTTTCTATGATGCACTATTTTCTTTCTTGAATATTAACCATTCTTTGAAAATTTTTCCAAGTTCGCTCATTTACATTGATTTGATTCATTAAACTTGGTTGTTTTCTCAATTGTTAAATGAATTCTACTTATAGTTCAGTTTCCCTTTAAATCATGTCTTTGTTTTCTTTGAATATGGATGGATATTTTGGGACAGGATAATGATTTGGTTGAGCTCTTATCTTTCAATGGTTTGGTTGTTGGTAGAATGGGATCCTATTCTATGGTTGTTGTTGGTTCGAGCGATGGTGTTGTTGAGTATTGTTCTTCTATTGGTTGATCTTTGGTGTGGTTTCTGGTAGCAGGGAGTTTTGTTAGGAGTTATTTTCCTTGGTTGTTGATGACTCGGGTGATGTTGCTTTTGGCTTATGTTCCTCACTTGGTTGACTTTGGTAAGGAGGTTGTTTGTTTTGATTTTTGTATGTTGGTTTTTTTCTTGTTCTCCGATGAGTTTTGGATACCACTTTTTTGCTTTTGGGGTTATTTTTTTGGTTTCTTATGATACACCATTTATTTTCTTGACTATTAACCATTTTTTGAAATTTTTTTCTTGGTTTACTCATCTAAATTATTTTAATTCATTAAACTTGGTTGTTTTCTCAATCGTTAAATGAATTTCAACTTATATAGTTGGCTTTCCTTTTAAATGAGGACTTTATTTTGTTTGAATATGGATGGATATTTTTGGATTGGATAATGGTTTGGCTAAGCTCTTTTTCTTTTACTGTTTATTTTACTAACTTCTCTTTTGTTAGTTGTGCTGATTTATTGTTTGTTGTTTTGGAGAGGGTTCTTTCCTTCTTTTTTTATCTTAGGTTTGGTTGGTGGTTGAACGGGACTCTATATTTTGGTTGTTGTCGGATTGGAAGATGGTATTGTTGGTTTTTGTTTGTCCCTTCGTTGATCTTTGGTGTGTTTGTTGGTAGCAAGGGTTTTTTCATTTGGTTAGTGATGGCTTGGGTGATGTTGTCGTTTGATTTTGTTCTTCTCTTGGTTGATTTTTTGTGTGGTTTCTGGTAGTAGGGTTCTTTTCTTTGGTTGCCGATGGTTTGGGTGTTGTTGTTGTTGGCTGTTCTTCTTCTCTTGGTTGATCTTCGGTAAGGTGATTGTTCTGTTATGGTCTTTGGTTGTTGGTTTTGTTCTTGTGCTCAGAAGTCTGTTATTGTTGGTGTTTGTTCTATTTTCCTTCAGTCTGGGTTGGTACTTTTTGGGACTTATTTAGGCCTTCCGGGTTGTGTTGTAATTGTGTTTGTATTAGTTCCTTTTTATTTATAAAGCTGGTCAGCAAAATTAAAGCTGGAAAACAAAAGTCCCATGAAGTTCAAGAATATAGCAACCAGAAATGTAAATCAGGTAAACCAAAATTCTCCAGACAAGCAAACCGCGATAAAGAAACATCAAACTTTAGGCAGTACTCACCAATGAATCTCCGATCGGCGGAGCAGGCTCCTCGTCCAAAATCTTAAAAAGGCTCTCCAAGCTGATCGAGAGATTGTCCGGGTATTCCCCTTCCATGGGAATCTCATCATAGCATTCATTCATGCTATCCATCGCATCCTCCTCCAACATAGAAGCTAGCATCTAAGTACCAGCCCAGCAATGAAACTATAAAAACGAAGAAGAAGAGAAAACCTAAATTCCGGCCCTTAGCGGACCGTTATCGGTAAATCCTGCGCCATTTCTCGGAACCCTAATCCTACCGAGTCGACCACATGAATCCAAAAGCGAAGCCCGAGTAGGAAACAATCAGGAACGCGGAACTGGTCTGATCCGATGCAATGAATCTGTGAAGCGAGAATAAAAATGCGCTCTCTTGCTCCTCTTCTTCCTCTGAACGAGAATAAAAATACCGAGTAGTTTCCACCTCTTTCTGACGCTTACTTCTCTGTTTTCCGCGTTAGTGGTCCTGCCGAAAGGCGTTTGCGACGGGCAGGGCTGCGGCGATTAAGCAACTTGTAAATACCTGTAAATACATTTAAGTATTAAACGGGACTAGACGTTGCTGGTTTTCGTTACCCTTTTTCAGGCGAATTTTCATGGGCTGCGCTACAATCGTGCTTCACAAAACACGAATCTGCGTTTTCTAAAAAATTCTGTTTTATTAGAAGTTAAAAATGCAGCATCACAAAAAATTTCCGATAATTGTTCATGCGTAGGGTATGTAGGGCTGTAAATGAATCAATGTTCTCTAGGAGCAATTCAAACACAATTAAATTCAGATTTGATTATGTTTTTTTAAATTAGTAAATAAATAAGTTTGAATAATTTTTAAAAGCTCCGAACTTAAATGAGCTGAACATAAAAAATAGTTGAACTTGTTCATTTATATTCATTAACAAAATCATTTGTTGTTCAATAACTAGTTTGATAATACATGATATTAAGCTCTATGATAACCCATTTTATATCAATAATATTTTTTATTAATGATTAATTATCTACTTATTTTATAAGAATTTAGGTGGTATACGTGAAATTATATTAGATTTATGTTGTATGTATGAAATGCCCCATAAATTATCTTTAGACTCCCTCAAACCCCACTTCCCCTTTGGCTTCTCATAATCTGTGTCTCTCAATTTTGTCTGAAACATACGAAACCCTAAGTTGTTAGGGCATGCATGCATTGAAAGCAACGACGAGATCGTGGTGTGCATGGATCTCTAAAACTAGTCTCTCATATTTCATTTTTTCCACTATGCTCATAAATTCTACTTGATTTAAAAGTTGTGTTGAGAAAATGCAGTGCAATCCTTATAAGTTAGATATGATTAAAAATCAGAATGGTACAACAACTCAATATGAAAAAGATCTACAAAAATTGTCCAAAAAAGCTAAGAAAATAACAAGTGCATGTCACTATGGTAAAACCAAGACCTACATCTGAATATGGAAGTTCGTTGCAAACTTAGAAGTATAAATATGATCATGCTAAAATATAAGAGATTACATCTCATATGATCATGATTCATGAGTTACCTTTCATTTTTATAAAGTTTACAATCGATAAATTAGTAGGTACGATTAGATTTGTAAAATTGTTTATTGAATTTTATATAAAAATCTAGATACTCGTTTGAATTTTTAGCTCATTTATTTCCTCGTTTGAATATTTGTTTACTTGTCATAAATAAATCAAGTTTAAGCATTGAAAAATTTAAACAACTCAAGTTTGAACAATATATGAAAGCTCAACACGAGGTTAAGTCGAATATGAACAACTTATAATTATAATAAGCCAAGTCCGAACTATAACATACTCAGCTCGATTACAGCTCTATGTGTACGTATAATTTGAATAATATATGAAAGCTCAACACAAGGTTAAGTCGAATATGAACAACTTATAATTATAACAAGCCAAGTCCGAACTATAATATACTCAGCTCGATTACAGCTCTATGTGTACGTATATGAATAAAGGAATAAGATCAGTGGGGTAATAAAAGTGTCAATTCTATGTTTTGAGAAAAGATGAAGGCTACATTCAACTTTATCATCAAATAAAATTTAACAAAACAACCCCACAATACGACATTCTCAGGCACAAGATGTCGATGAAAGCCTTTCACACAAGAATCGGTCTTAATATGTCTTGATCGTCACCGAAGTAGGTAAGAAGACCTCTGATCATAAAACGGACTATGTGAGAGTTTCCAAAACATTGACTACCTCGGAAGAACACTTTTATTGTTGGGGTTTCATTCACAAATTGGTAATGAATAGATCGAAAAAAAATAATTAATATAAATTTAAAAAAAAAGTAAAATAAAAAGGAGATAAAGCCCTTGCTGCCTCATTCATTTCCCTTCTCTTCTAATGCCATAGACTTGAAAATCTCTGCTCACGAACACCTCGCCACCAAAACCCACAATCCCACGCTTTCCCGTTGATGAAAACCTCACTCTTGCCGCTGGTGACCCTATCAACATCACCCCCATTGGCTCTCAATCTCCATGTTGCATTCCATTGTTCATGCAATGTAAGACTTAGGGCTTCCCTTCTCTCTCATGCAAAACACAGATGGTGAATCTGGCATCTCCCTGTTGCCCAAAAAATCATGAAGGCTCGTGCACACTTCCTCCAGCCAGCGAAACTCACTGTTGGTTTTTCGCCTCACCTGATTTATATGTCGATGTTCTTTTCTAAATGGTACTTTTTTTCTTATGCAATCAAAGCCTTAATAGCGTTCTCTTAGGTTTTCCCCTGCCGACGCTCTCTTAGTGAAGCCCTTCTGGCGGGGCACTCTCTCTCTAGGCAAGGTTGTTGTCATCAATTTTTAATGTCATAAGTGTAGGATGATCGCATGAAGGATTTGAGACACTCCCTCTCTAGGCAAGGTTGTTGCCATCAATTTTTAATGTAATAAGTGTAGGATGATCGCATGAAGGATTTGAGACAAAATTTTATTCATTTGTATCATCGCATAGCTCTAGACATCCATCTAAGCCTCTCAGTATGAGTTCGGGCCATAGAACCAGGGTTGACACTATTACAGCCTTACCCGAGAGATCTCATCTTTGGGTGACATCAATTTTGGTATGGGGCTCATATGTTATCCATTGTAATGCTTAAAGACCAAGCATCATCCATTCAAAGCCTCTTGTGGTCATCAAGGTCCTCTTTGGTAAAAGGAATTCATAAAACCATCCTGCTTGAATTTTGAAATAAATCAAGGTTTTTTGTTGGTACACCGACATAGTGGTCTGGGATGCTTTATGATACTAAAATTATTAATATAAGACCTTTGAAATGTTCTTTTCTAATTTTTGTAGTCATAATTTGAATGATGTGTAATTTTCCAAAGTTTACAAAACCATAGATTCTCCTAAGATGCGTGGTAACACACAAAATCAGGGTTTAGCTCAATACGATCGTACCCGCAAGTGCCCATCATCGTTAGGCATTAGTTGAGTATATGACACATGTTTAATGTACATTTCAATGCTTTAATATCAAATTTCAATCATAAACACTCTCCCATAATATATGAATGAGAAAATCCTTTGTTGGAAGCTTCCTGCAAAAATTGGGGTTTTTGGGCTAGACCGACGTCTAATATTTCAATGCTTTAATATCAATTTTCAATCATAAACACTCTCCCATAATTTATGGATGAGGAAATCCTCTACAAAAATTGGGGTTTTTGGGCTAGACCGACGTCTAAGTGCAAGTCCCGGGTGCCTAGGCGCTAGACCCTAGAGCCAGTTTGGACATCTAGGCACCCAAAACTGCATTTGGGACCCCAAAATTGAGATTTTGAAAAGTAGGCACCCAGTATCGAGCGTATAGGCACCCGCCTGCAGCTAAACAAGTTAAAATTATTGACTTGGTCCCCAAATGTGAGCCCCACATTAGGATGGGATTGATTTAGGAGGGAGTGCTTGCTTGGATCAAGTCATGTATTCGCTTTCCTTGTAGGTTTTAGTGATTCCATTTCAAATTTTCCTATCTAGGCTTTAATTAGCATGTGTTAAGAATATGATCTTTCCTATAATTCAACCCGAGGATCCTCGGTAAGGTTGTTAGAAAGGGTGTAGTTTGTCATTCACCATGTGTATGACATTTAATTTATGTTGCATGACATGACTCTCTTAAAATGAGCATCAAAATCTCTTTTTGTGTTTATTTTATGATTGGCCTTTATCATCAAAACTGATCAAATCATTTGTGTCACAGATTTGGTTAATCAGTTGCAGCTAGTCAGATCGATCAATTGACCTTTTTTGATCGACTCAATATACCGACTACTTCCAGTATGACTGTTAGATCAATCATTTGTTGATCGACCTGATCCATCAGATGCCATCGATCCAAATCATCAATGTACCTTAGTTTGATTTGATGCATCATCATATGTTTAAAATTGCTAGCGTTAACATATGTATGTTTTGTACCTACATTAGTATGCCAACATGTATTCACAAACAGATGTTCTCATATGGTCATCACAGATATTTATGTCCTTCCACTTGGACAAGTTATCTCGTGCATTGGCTTGTTGACATACTTGTATGTCATCAAGTATCCATACAGCATTGTGTTTGTTTCTTCTTTTGCATAACATAACATGCTCAGGTCTTGTATGCTCATGTCTTGTATGCCCATCATCATCATGTAAGTCTGTGCCCTTGCTTGCTCACTTTATTTCCCACACGGCTTATGTGAGGTATCTAGCACTCTAAGCTTGTATATTTTATTTCTCTCTAGAGAGAACTATGACATATGTTATCTTATAGCACCACTCTAAAATGTCATAGTTAAAGTGCCTCGTGCATCCCCACTAGTGCAAGTCACTCTATCATGGCCTTTGAACTTGTTTGGTGTACCCTAGGTGCCCGTTAGTGTATGTCATGCCTCCTTGACGTCTAAACTTGCTTGGTGCATTGTGTATTCCTACGAGTGTGAGTCATGCCTTCTCAACATCTAAACTTGTCGGGCAAATTACGTGCACCTGCCTCGACATGTGCAACTCCCACCAAGCATTGGTCAAGCTCCATAGCATTTAATCCTATTTAGTGTGTTAATTATGATACCCACCTTCTATGGCAAAGTCTGATATTGTCATGGGCTATCATGATATAGAGTATGTGCCTACTTGTTTGTGTAGTGAATTACATTAAAATGTATGCTTACTATTTGTGTGCATGTATAATCATCATGCATGCCTTGCATCAACATCCATGCATTCCTTGTGTTCTTCATGAGCTTGTGCAAACATGTTCTTAATGATGAATGCTTATCACTTAGTGATCATCTTGACCTTGGTAGGGTGGTCACAATACACTTAATCACCCCACACCTTGCATCTACATCTATGAACTTCTTGTGTTTGTCATAAGCATGTGCCAACATGTGCTTAATGACGACCATGTGCTTAATGATGAATACATATCACTTAATGATCATCCTCACCTCAGTAGAGTAGTCGCAACACACTGAATCACCCCTGCACTTTGAATCTGCATATGCACGGCT